GAGATGAGGTCTCGCCAAGTTACCCAGACGGGTCTCAAACCCGCGGGCTCAGGCAATCCACTCACCTCAGCCTCCCAAAGCACGGGATTACAGGCTGAGTCACTGAGCCCGGCTATTTTTTTTTTTTTTAAAACAAAACTATGAATTTAATTTATTCGCTTGTTACAGATATATTCAGATTATACATTTTTTTCCAGTTAGTTCCTCGGGTAGTTTGTGATTTTCTAGAAATATGCTCATTTCATGTAAGTTATTTAATTTGTTGGCATGCAACTGTTCATAGTAGTCCTTTATAATCTTTTTTATTTTTGTAAGGTCAGTAATAATTTATTTATAAATACTAGAATCAGTATTTATTTCTGATTCTAGAGATTGAGTCTTTTCTCCTTTTTTCCTTTGTTAGACTAGCTAAAGGTTTGTCAATATTGTTGATCTTTTTAAAGAATCAGCTTTTGGTTTTGCTAATTTTCTCTATTGTTTTTATATTCAACATTTCACTAATTTTCAGTTCAATATTTATTATTTCCTTCCTTCTTTTTACTTTATGTTATTTGTTTTTTTTTTTCCAGTTTCTTAGGGTAAATTATTGATTCGAGATCTTTCTTCTTAAAAGGTATTTATAGCTATAAATTTCCCTATAAGCTGTTTTAATTGCATTCCATAAGAATTGTTATCTGGTTGATGTCGTTTCAGACTACTTTGATTTCTTCTTTGATTTGCCATTTATTTACATACCACTGTTACTTTGAATATATTTTCTTCTACTTCATCTCCTCTTCCATTATGTGCATGTTGGTGTATTTGATGGTGTTCCACATTTTTCTGAGGCTCTATTCATTCCCCCCACCTTTGGCCTGAGTAATCTATTTCACTTTATCTTCACATTTGCTACTTCTTTCTGCCATCTATCAAAATCTAGTATTGAGCTCCTGTAGTCAATTTTTAAAATTTTCATTATTGTATTTTTCAACTAAAAAATTTCCACTTAATATTTTGTAATTTCTGTATCTTTATAGACATTCTCTATTTGATGTGACACTGTCCTCATACTTTCCTTTACTTTTGTTTTTAATTTTATTTATTTTTATTTCAATAGTTCTGGGGGAGTACAACTAGTCTTTACTTTTAAAATCATGGTTTATTTTCATTCTGTGAACAAATTTACAGTGACTGCTTTGAAATTTTAAATCTGACATCTGGTCTCTCTCTCACAGTTTCTATTGTCTGCTCTTTTTCTTGTGTATGGGTTATACTTTCTGCAACTATGAATTTGACTAGTTAAGATACTTCATATATATGGAATCATACAGAATCTGTCCTTTTGCAACTGGCTTATTTCACGTAATGTTATGTCTTCAGGTTCGTCCACGTTGCAGCATGTGTCAGACTTTCCTTCCTTTTCAAGGCTCCTAACAGTGCATGGTATGTATATGCCACATTTTATTTATCTGCTCATCTGTTAATGAATACCTCATTGTTCTCACCTTGTAGTTATTGTACATAATGCTGCTATAAAGATGGTTGCTCAAATGTCTGTTTCAAGTCCTACTTTAGGGCTTTTAACAGTCTTTTGCATTTATACTCAGAAATAGTTTTCCTGAATCATACAGTAATTCTGTTTTTAAGTTTTTGAGGAACCACAATACCGTGTCTCACAGTGGTTACACCATTTAAAAATTCTACCAACACCACACAGGGTTTCAATCGCTCCATATCCTCGACACTTGTTTTTTTGATAGTAGTCATCATAATTGGTGTAAAATGGTATCTCACTGTGGCCTTGATCTGGATTTCCCTAGTGACTAGTAATGTTGAACATCTTTTCATGTACTTGTTGGTTATTTGTATATTGTCTTTGGAGAAATATCTATTCAAGTACTTTGCCCATCAACTGGGATGTTTTTGCTTTTTTTTTAGGGGTTCTCCATATACTCTGGGTATTAACCACTTGTGAGATATATGGTTTGCAAATATTTATCCCGAATCTGTAGGATGACTTTTCACTATGTTGGTTCTGTCCTTTGCTGAACAGAAGTTTCTAACTTTCTTTTTTGAGTTGGAGTCCCACTCTGTTGCCCAGACTGGAGTGCAGTGGCTGCTCCTGGCCACTGCAGCCTTGACCTGCTGGGCTCTGGCGATCCTTCCACCTCAGCCTTCCAAGTAGCTGGAACTACAGGCGCGCGCTGCCACGCCTGGCTAATTTTTTGATTTATTGTAGAGATGAGGTCTTGCCAAGTTGCCCAGGTGGGTCTCGAACCGCAGGCTCAGACAATCCACTCACCTCAGCCTCCCAAAACATGGGATTACAGTCTGAGCCACCGAGCCCGGCTACGTTTCTAATTTTGATATAGCCCAATATATGTTTTTCAAGAACTGCATGCACTCTTGGTGTCAAACCCAAGAAACTGCTGCCAAATTCAATGTCTAAAGTTTTTATAGCTTTGCCTCTTACTTTTCAGTCTTCCATCCATTTTGAGTTCATTTTTGTACACGGTGTAAGGTAAGGGCACTTCATTCTTCTCTGTGTGGATATCCAGATGTCCCAACATCATTTTTTGATAAGACTGTCCTTTCTCTACTACATAGTCTTGGCATCCTTGTTGAAAATTATCTGACCATATATCTGAGGGTATATTTCTGGGCACTCTATTCTGTTTCATTGGTCTATACTGCATGTCTGTCTTTATTCTAGTGCCACACTATTTTGATGACTATAGATTTATAATAAGTTTTGAAATCAGGAAGTATGAGACTTCTGAGTTTGTTCTTTTTTTTTTTCTTTTTTTGAAAGCAGGATTGATTAAGAAGACAGAAAAGCTCCCACAGTGGGAGGGGACCCGAGGGGATTGCCCTGTTCTTCTTTTTCAAGATTGTTTTGGCTATTTGGGTCTCTTGATATTTCATATCAATTTTGGGATGGGTTTCCTATTTCTGAAAAAATATATTCATCATTGGGATTTTGGTAAAGATTGCATTAAATCTGTACATTACTTTGGGTAGTACTGACATTCTAACAATACTAAGTCTTCCAATCCATGAACAAGAAATATCTTTCCATTTATTGATGTCTTCTTTCATTTCTTTCAGCAATGTATTATAGTTTTCAGTGTACAAACCTTTGGTTTCCTTGCTTAATTTATTCCTAAGTATTTTATTATGTTTGATCCTACTGTAAATGCAAACGTATTCTTAATTTCCTTTTTAGATTGTTCTTTGTTAGAAATACGACAGATTTCTGTGTTAATTTTCTATCCTGCAACTTTGTTGAATTCATTTATTAGTTCTAACAGTTTGTGTATGTATATAATCCTTTTTTTTTTAGAAAGCAGGATTTGTTGAGAGGACAGAAAAACTCCCACAGTGGGAGGGGACCAGAAAGGGTTGCTCATGTATGTGATCTTTACATTTTTGTACATATAAGATCATGTCATCTGTGAATAGAGATGACTTTTTTTTTCTCTTTTAATTTTGATGCCTTTTATTTTATTTTATTTTTTTGCCTAATCACCCCGACCAGGACTTCCACTACTATAATATGCTGAAGTGATGAAATCAGGTATCCTTCTCTTGTTCCTAATCTTGGGATAAAAACTTCCAGTATCAGTCTCAGCAATGGACAGCTGGAGGCAGGATGATAAACACTAAAGTGTTTTTTTTAAGGGGGGGTTATACACACACATAAACAAAATATATATTATATATGTGTAAATACAAGTATTTTTTACTAATACTATATTAGGGTTGTTTTCATTTTTGGCCATTAGGAATAAAGTTGCTATAAACATCATGCAAAGGTCTTTGTACAAACATATACTTTATCTTCTCTTGATAAATACCTAGAAGTGGAATAACTGGATGATATAGTAGGTATATGTTTAATATTTAATAACTTGCCGAGTTATTTTCTATTTTCCATGTCTACCAGCAGCATCTGAGTGTTAGTTCCTCCACATATTTGTCAACACTTGATCTGGTCAGCCCCTTTTTTTTTTTGAGAAAGTAGGATTTATTGAGAGGACAGAGAAGCTCCCACAGTGGGAGGGGACCCGAAGGGGTTGCCCCAGTTAGCCTTTTTAATCTCAGTCATTCTAATAGGTATTCAGCAGTATTTTATGGTTCTAATTTGCATTTCCTTAATGACCAATACAGTACTGATCATCTTTTCATGTGCTCATATGTCATCTATATTTCTAGTGCAGTAAAGTATTATTTGTTCAAGTATTCTGCTCGTCTTTTAAAATTGGGTTGTCTGAATACTGTTTTGAAGGTTGTTTATACATTTTAGCTAGAAGTACTTTATCAGAATGTCCTTAGTAAATCATTTTCCCTGGTGTGTCACATTTTTTTTTCATTCTGTTAACAATGTCTTTCAAAGAGGAAATGTTTTGATTTTGATGAAATCCAATTTACCAATTTTATCTTTTATGGACTGTGCTTTTAATGTCCCATCTAAAAAAATATCTAACCCATTCAAAGTTATATGTTATATGCTTTCCTGTATATATGTTATACCTTAATAAAAAGTATACTTTGATTAAAAGTATGAGACAAAATAACTGACTTTATGACAATTAATTTTGTGGTATTTTCAAAAGTTCATTGGTGAGAAGAGTAGATGATACTGTAGTGTATTAATTATAATTAATACCATAAGCAACTAGTGCTTAAGGTCCCAAGTAGACTTTTCTCATTCCACTTTAATATTCTTATTAGCAATAACTAGTTATAAGAGTCAATTGCCAATAATATGTTGTAAGAAATGCTACATGGTAAAAGTTCCAACAAAATCAATATTTTAAAGTTACAAGGGATGACTGCTTGACAGCAGCATATTTTCTCAGTTTTAAAATTTTTATGTATTATTTATTTTGGCTGGAACACCCATCCTCAGGAGGTCCTGGGAATATGTGCCCCAACAGTGCATTTTCTACCTTTAGTATGCCAGTCTGGTTTTTCATGATGCCATTTTCAAATAGACTCAGTATTCTAAAAAATAGTACCTGTGTTATCTTTGTGCTAGAAATGTTAATTTTTTCTGCTAATTTCAATTCCGGTACAACCATGGTTTTTGATATCGCCATTCTGCTTTGATTCGCACCAGCATAGCTCTTGGCTGGTGCTCCTCTTACAGGGCTGATGAAGCTAATAGACTTCTTCGGTTGTGTGGCACTGCTCCTATACGAAAAAAGAACACATAGTACAGAGGATTCAGGGTTGAAAAGAAACATCAACCAACAATAAAAAAGACTTTTATGTAGAAACACGTGAACCATCTAAACATACAGCGAGAAATAGGAATAGCTACTTGAGATCTTACTATAAGTAAGCATAGTTCTAAAGAGTTTACAAACATTATGTCACTTTTTCCTCAATTCTAAGAGCTTGTTATGAATATTATTTTTGTATAAAGGCACAGGAGCTTTAAAGGGGAATATTCCCATTACAGTTGAGATCTGAACCCAGGAAGTCAGTTCCAACCTCACACGGACTTCTCTGAGTCCTAGTTTCTTTACCTGTAAAATGGGGAAATATAATAGTGCCTAACTTATGGGTTATTATGAGGATTGGATACATTAATTTATTTATTATGATTAGGAAGTACCTGGTACATAGCAAGCACAAATGAGTGTACAGTCTAGTTACATAGGCAGATTTAAACATGATTAACACAACCTGAGAAAGAATATTATATTCCTGCCTGAATGTCACAGTTTTTAATAAGAAGAGGAATATAATTAAAATATTTCTATTGAGGAAGTAAAATTCACATTTGGATTTACTCCTTAAGACAAGAACCTACCTTACCATTTCATTCCTCTTTAGGATTTTGTAATGTGGGTTTCTTTTTTGATTGTTTGTTTTTTTTTTTTTTTTGAGTTGGAGTCTCACTCTGTCACCCAGACTGGAGTGCAGTGGCCGCTCTCGGTCACTGCAGCCTCAACCTGCTGGGCTCCGGCGATCCTTCCACCTCAGCCTTCTAAGTAGCTGGAACTACAGGCATGCGCTACCACACCCAGCTGATTTTTGATTTATTGTAGAGATGAGGTCTCGCCAAGTTGCCCAGGCGGGTCTCGAACCTGCGGGCTCAGGCAATCTACTCACCTCGGCCTCCCAAAGGCGCGGGAGTACAGGCTGAGCCTCCGAGCCTGGGGTAATGTGGGTTTCTATAAAATGAGGATGACCTTCCCTTAGATTATAAAAAGGAAATATGCTTCCAAAGGAAACATTTCAAATAACACTTCCACTTTTTAAACCATGAAAGATCAGACTAGAAGAAATATTTTTAAATGACAACAATCAATCCAGCTTTCATATTTCATTTTTCTTCATAGCACTTACCACTTTTTGACATTGTGCTTGTTGTTGTCCACTCCTCTACAGAGCGTAAGCACGTTTAGGGCAGGAACCTTGTCATGGTCACTGCTGTATCCCTTGCACTGAGCACAGTGCCTCATATACCATGGGCACCAAATACATATTTTTTAAAATACGTGAATAAATGAATTCCATTTGTGCACTGCTTCAAATTTACATTCTTTTAAGGTATTCTACCCTCTCCTCCTTCCATCTCCAAAAGATTTTACCTCTAACATCTCTAAGAAAACAAAGTATCAGTCATGTAAACTACTTCACATCCTCTACCTTCTTTAAATTCTTCTACCTCCTACAAAATCAGCTCAGTCCATCTTTATCTCTTTTTTCCTCTCTCAGTAAAAGCGTTGTCATTCTTATTAAAGACTAATCTTTTATCTGCATACAGAAACCTGGCCCTCACTGTTTCCTCAGGGACTCTCCCATACCTTATTTTCTTCTGTCTTTTCCCTATGTCATCTTTTCAACTTAAAAAAAGAAAATCATTTCTTTACCTATATCTTCCTCTATCTATTACCATATCTCTCCTTCCTTTCAGTTCAACTTCTTAAAATATTAGTCAATAATACTGCTTACTTCTTCACTCCTCGTATTTGCTTCAAACTACAATCTTGCTCTACTCCTCTACTCGCTCTTCTTCTATTGCATAGAGATTACTGTCGTTCTCTCTTTTTCTTTCTTTCTTTTGTAGAGTCAGGGTCTCACTATGTTGGCTAGGCCACAGTATAGTAGCATGATGGTAGTTCACTGTATCCTCGAATTCCTGGGCTTGAGCAATCCTCCTGCCTCAGTCTTCTGAGTAGCTGGAACTACAAATGTGCACCACCATGCCCAGTTGATTTTTTTTCTTTAAATTTGTGTAGGGATGGGGTCTTGCTATGTTACCCAGGCTGGTCTCAAACTCCTGGGCTCAAGAGATTCTCCTGCCTCAACCTCCCAAAGTGCTAGGATTAGAGGCATGAGCCACCATGTCTGGCCAAGACTGCTTTCATCAAAATCACCTAGTTCTTCAAATTGGTGAATCCAAAGGACTCTTTTCAGTACTTATCTTTGTAGCATCTGACTTCTCAAGTTGGTTTCTGTGATACCACTGTCTCCTATTCTTCAAACACCTCGAGGCCTCTACCATTCCTTTTCTACCAAATAATCAGATTTAGATTTTTCTTCTTTTGCTATTAAATCCTGAATCCAGTTTATCAATTGAATCACTCTTTTGTCATTTCCTTCAACTCTCTTATTTTCTTTCTCCTTGATGCCCTACTTGCCTTACAAAATCCAGTCCTCCTATTCCGTTTTCCTTTGTCAGGTTCCTCTTTCACAGACAACACTTAGGCTCAAACTGTTGTTTGTCTGATTTCTCACTATGTACACTATTCCAGAGTAAATGTCACCATTTCAGTGGCCAGGTGTATTCCACTTTCCTATGGCAATTACTCTCATCAGCACTTCCTGTCTCCCATCCTCTGAAGATTTTATATCCTCAATCACTTGCTCTCTCTCCAATACTATTCCTGGCATGATTCTTGAGAATTTCAATATCCATGAAGGTAATCCTTCAACTATCCTGGCCTCTCAGTTCCTTGAAATCCTCTCACATAAATATGAGTTTACACGCCTAACTTTAGCCACTTACTCCCACATGGTCACACACTCAGCTTTGTCTTCAGCAAGACCAACCACCACTTCCTGTTTTTCCACCTTATACATTCTCTTAAATACCAGCTTCGATTGTCTTTTAACCCTCGAGCCCTTAATTCCACCAAGTTTTATTTCCTTACCTACCCTTCTCATGCCACCTCCTTCCTCTTGAAGCTAAGATCAATCAGCAGGTAATTATGATAATCACTCTTTATTTACATTGTTGCCCTCTTTTGCCTTTTGTTTCACTGAGCTTGTGGGCAAAACCAAAGTCGTGGATAATTCCCATTATCCTCTTACGTTGAGCCTGCATCTGTGTGTTAACTGTATTTCTAGCTTCTACAAACTTGATGCTTTAACACTTGTCTTATGTACTCAGGCTAGGCATGCCTTACACTGGACAAGCTGATAACATGCCCATGTTACCTTGCCTTGGCCTTCTGGTTCTCCTCTTGCCACCCCCTCCCACGTTCCTCAGGCGGAATCCTCCTCCCAGGGTTGTACTTTTCAAACACACAGCAGCCAATCCTGATTCCACACCCCCAACCACCTCTCCCATGGGACGCTCTTGGCACCACTACACCCACCCTAATCACTCCATGGCCAGATATCCGGACCAATAGGGACAGCCCTTGTGCCCAGAAACCACTGAAATTACTCAACCTCTCTAGTAAATCCTAAACCTCTCTACCCTGCCTTATCCATTCTTTCTGGTGGAAAGCACAATAAAGGCTCTTGTCCACAATCTCCCTCCTCCACCCATCTGCTTCTTGACAGATCATCCTGTGTCCTGGGTAGCCCCCATGGTGTGGTGAGCACACTCCTCTTGAAAACTGTAATAAACGAATTTTTCAATGGCAATAATTTCCTGATCTATTAGTCTTACTGTTCCTCAAATTTTATTATGGTACACTATTTTAACTTAACCTGTGTGACTAAATGAAACTGGAAAAAAAAATACCCAACCATGATGACGGGTCTCACTTTAAATTATGAATCATTAACTTAACCTGAGTCCTTCTTGGTTTACCTTTTACTATACTCTCTAAGGCCATTATTTTATACTTTCTCTTTCTTCAAATATGAATACCTCCTCTGACGCTTTTACTTTCAGTTGATTAAATGAGAAAGCTGAAGCCACCTGGTAACTTTCATATACTTCCATATCACATTTATGCGCCTGCCTGTATCATGCCTGCATTCTGTTTCCTTCCTGGTACTCTGGGTGAATTATCGATGATGATAGTTTAGGTCAATCCTTCTACATGCATACTGGGTTCCATTCCTTTTTTGCCTGTTCAAGGATATTGCTCTATTAGGTCATAAATTTTCAGCTCTCTACTGGACTATTCCTTTCAGTAGATAAATATGCTGGTATTTCTCACATTTAAACAGAAACCTTCTCTTGATTCCATCTATCTGTCATTTGTGTTTCCTTTAATTATAGCAATTCCTGGGACAATTTTCTATATTTATTGCTTCCTCTCTCTCTCTCTCTCTCTCTCTCTATATATATATATATATACACACACACACACACACACACACACACACTCTCTCTCTCAATTCTCTCTCTCACTCTACACACACACACACACACACACACTCTCTCTCTCTCTCTCTCTCTCTCTCTCTCTAAGTCTACTCTGATCAGGTTTTTGTCCCTATCATTCCACCAAAAGGATTACTACCAAGCTCTAACCATCTCCACAATTCTCATCTATGGTCATTTCAATGTTCTCATCTTACTTATTTTTATTTATTTATTTATTTTGAGTTGGAGTCTCACTCCGTCGCCCAGACTGGAGTGCAGTGGCATACTGCCGGCCACCGCAGCCTCGACCTGTTGGGCTCTGGTGATCCTTCCGCCTCAGCCTTCCAAGTAGCTGGAACTACAGGTGCACGCTACCACGCCCAGCTAATTTTTGATTTATTGTAGAGACGAGGGCTCACCAACTTGCCTGGGCAGGTCTCGAACCCGTGGGCTTAGGCAATCCACTTGCCTTGGCCTCCCAAAGTGCTAGGATTATAGGCTGAGCCACTGAGCCCAGCCTCATCTTACTTATAAGCAGCATTTCATCCAGCTGTTCATTCTTTTGTGTGTGTGTGTATGTGTGTGTGTGTGTGTGTGTGTGTGTCTGTGGCATTCATCCTTGGACTTCTCTTTTCTATCTACAATCATAGCCTAGTGAATTCATTCAATGCCATGATTTAAAAGCCATCTATATGAAAATGATCCCCACCTACCTAGACCTCTCCGTATAGATCCACTTGCCTACTTGACATCACTAACCAAAATGCAGCATGTCTAAAACTAAGTTTGTGACATTAACCTCCACCACGGAGACAGGACAGCTAGCATAGCTTAGAGATATGTAGATAGTGAGTTTCTTATAGGCAGGCTTAGATAACTACGAAACCAGATGGTCAGGCATCTAGGCACTGACCTATTGGGACATAACACTTTAAATAACTACACAGCGACTGAAACTCAGCCTGATCTTGGAAGATGGAATAGCTGGCTACAAAGACCAAAAACAGGACAATAGAGTTACTAGAGACATAGAGGCACAGTGCTCTAGGAAAAACTTAAACAACAACTTTTGTTATTATCTCAAAAGTTCCTCATGACACAAGCAAAGAGTAAAACAGTAAGAATTAAAACTTGTAATAAAAGCTTAGCTTAGAAATAGGTTGCTTAATCATCATTTTGTACAATATATAATAAAGCTTTCTGTTAACAGCGTGTACCCTTTCCCTTGACACCAGCGCTTTCTTGAATATGTATTTTTTTTCTCTAATAAACTGTATTTTAGAACTCTTTTTGTGACTTGCTCTGAAATTCCTCTCTGTGACAAGCCAAGGACCCATTGAGCAATTACACCCAAGCCATTTGACATCACCACCACCACCTCACTCTTACCTGGCCAGCAAATCTACCACTCTTGCAGACCTCCCAGTTTTTGTTAAAAAGGCAACTCTATTCTTCCAGCTACTTGAGGGAAACAAAACAATCAAAATATATCCAAAATCCACCATTTGTCACCATCCTTTTTGCTACCATCCTGGTCTAAACACTGTCTTATCTCCTGGATTATTGCAGTACCTTTCAACTCATCTTCCTACTTAACCTCGATCCCCTGAAGTTTACCCTCCATGTAACCACGGTGACCTTTCAAAACACAAGTAAGGGTTGGGCATGGTGGCTCACACCTGTAATCCCAGCACTTTGGGAGGCCGGAGTGGGAGGACTGCTTGAGACCAGAGTTCAAGACCGATCTGGGCAACACAGTGAGAATCCATCTCTAGAAAAATATAAAATACTAGCCAGGCATGGTGGCTGCATCTGTAATCCTAGCTAATCAGGAGCTTGTGGTAGGAAAACTGCTTAAGCCTATGAATTTGCAGTTACAGTGAACTAAGATTGAGCTACTGTGCTCCAGCCTGAGTGACAAAGTAAGACTCTGTCTCTGAAAAAATAAAACAAAACACAAATAAGATCATACCACTGTTGTGCTTGACACCCTTTATTCATTTCCTACCACATTCAGAATAAAAGCATACATCTTTACTGTCACTTAAAAAGTCCCAACATGCATACAAGTTAGGCCTCTGATTTCACTTCCAGCAGTTTCTCCCTTGTTAGCTCTGTTCCAGTCATGTTAGCATCCTTGATATTCATGCCGGGCACATTTCCATATCAGAATTCACACTTGCTGTTCCCTTCATCTAAAACACTCTTTCTCCTACATGCACACGCCTAGCATCATCACTTTCTTCAGTGTGGGCTTTTCTGGCTTTCCTATCTAAGACGTCAAACATTCCTCTCATATCCCCTCGCTTTATTTTTCTCCTTAGCACTTCTTACTAACAGTATAGATTGTGCTTAGTTACCTTGTGTACCAGTTGTTTCTATCCAACACAGTATGCAGTAAGTCCCCTCTATATGAACCTACACGTCGCAAACTTTGAAAGATGCGAACGAACATGTGTTCACATGTTCCATCATGTAAGTTAACTCATGTGCCTGGCATGTATTGTAATGTGTGCATCCTCTACAAGTGGTTGTGCGTTTGTGTACTTTATTGTATAGTACTGTGTGGAGTACAATGGGACAGTGTCCTTATTTCAAGCTCAGGAAGTACAGAAGCAAGCACAAAAGCAGCAGTGATGTAGCCAGCGGTACTGTAGATCGTGTGAGTTGGGTGCCTAGGCTAACTTGGTTGGACTTAGGAAATTAGACTTACGAATGCGCTCTTGGAATGGAGCTCACTCACAGGTGGTGGACTAACTGTATGCTTTATTTACTTATCTTGTGAGCCAGTTGTCTCTCTATCTTAGCGTCTAAGTTCCACAAGGACACTGGGCTGCTTTGTTCCCTGCTGTATCCTTAGTGCTTACAACAGTACCCAAGTGTGGAAGAAAGTTTTTCCTCCACTCTCACACCACAACAATCAACAGAGATGACTTCTGTGACCAAATGTGTGGGGGGTTTTCTCCACACACCAAGCAAGCAATCAATTCTTCAGTGCACCCAGCTGGGTGTCTTCCAATTTAATTCCAGCAGGGTCTACCTGGGGATAGCATCAGATCCCACAGGTTGAGGGCTCAGTCCCATAAGACTATTCCCCACTTCAGATGCCATCACAAAACCGGTTGTGAACTGAGATGATTGGCTACACATCGGGGTTCCCATAACCCCTTCCTTGGGTTAGATCAATTTGCTACAGCGTCTCACAGAACTCAGAGAAACACTTACTTATGTTTCATGATTTATTATAAAGGACATGACAAAGGATACAGATGAAAAGATGCACACGGCAAAGGATGTGAGGGAGGGGCGAGTGGCTTCCATGAGCCCTCTGGGCACGATACCCTTCAGGAAGCCTGCAGGTCCAGCTATCCAGAAGCACTCTCAACACAGTCCTTTGAGGTATTAATGGTGGCTTCACTAAGTAGGCATAATCGATTAAACCACTGATCATTGGTGATCAACTTAACTTTCAGTCCCTCTCCCCTCCTTGGAAGTTGGGGGGTGGAGTTTAAGGTCCCCACTCTCCAGCTGATGCAGTGGTTTCCACTTGTAATTCCAGCACTCTGGGAGGCCAAGGCAGGAGAATTTCTTGAACCCAGGAGTGGGCAACAAAACGAGACCTCATTTCTATAAAACTTTTTTTTAAAAAAATTAGCTGGGTGTGGTGGTGGGCACCTGTAGTCCCAGCTACTTGGAAGGCTGAGGCAGGAAGATGGCATGAACTCAGGAAGTCAATGCTGCATGAGCCTTGATGGTGCCTCTGCATTCTAGCCTAGGCAATGGAGTGAGACCCTGACACACACACACACACACACACACACACACACACACACACACACACACACATAAATCCCAACCCTCTAATCATGCCTTAGTCTTTCTTTTTTTAATTCTTTTTTTGAGTTGGAGTCTCACTCTGTCACCCAGACTGGAGTGCGGTGGCCACTCCTGGCCACCACAACCTCAACCTGCTGGGCTCTGGTGATCCTTCCACCTCAGTCTTTCAAGTAGCTGGAACTACAGGCACATGCTACCACACCCGGCTAATTTTTGATTTATTGTGGAGATGAGGTCTCGCCAAGTTGCCCAGGCGGGTCTCAAACCCACGGGCTCAGGCAATTCACTCACTTCAGTCTCCCAAAGCATGGGATTGCAGGCTAAGCCACCGAGCCTGACTATGCCTTAGTCTTTCAAGTAACTAGCCCCAATCCTGATGCTACAGGAGTTGTATGACAGGAAACTACTAAAGACCAAATATTTATTTTACATTATCACAGTGAAACTACCTATATAGAATTAATATCAGACCACAGGATAAAAGCTGTAAAAGAGACCTGGGCCGTGAGAAGGTGCAGCTATAGTTTGAATTTAGCAAATCTGTTTTTTCTAAGTATGTTTCACTCTAATAGAGAACAGGTGATTATCTTCACCTCCTGACTGCTAGGGAAGTGGGGGTGGGGGTGGGGTAGCCACCTGCAAAGCCCTCTGACTTTTTGGGGAGGTGGATTTGAGTTGCATCTCTTGTCCTCCCAGCTCAGCTTCCTTGCATTACTAAACTCTTTCTCCAGTGTCACGGTTGCATCGGTTCTGGTTTTACTGGGCAGCGGGCATGTTACTCACGTCAGGCTACAATAGTACCTAACACACAAGAGCTGCTTTGTAAGCATGTTGAAAGAATCATTACACCCAACTCAAAACACTCTCTCGCACTATGTACTCATCTGTTTAATATTCTAACAGGCACCTCAGACTGAATAGATGCATAATAAAATCACATCACATTTGCTCGTAAAGCAGCTCTTCCCCTTTTAGTCCCCATAAGAACTCAAACAGAAATGAACAAATTATGAATGAATGATGCTAGAGTTATCAATTAGGTAGTTAATGGGATCTTTTGTGAGAATATTATCAGCGAACTCTCTGAAATTGTTGGACTGCACATTTTATGGAAAGGGGACGATGTTTATTATGTTCACCATTATAGCCCCAGCTCTTAGCCCTGTGCCTCTAAAAAGTAGGAAATTGGAGACAGAAAGTACAGATTACCCTTTTTAAAGAAATGGAGGATGGATCTGTAATCAGTTGTCACAAATCTATGATATATATGTATCTATATGAGAAAATATAAATGCTTCTATATTGGCAAATTATGGGGCAATAGAGTGACTTTTAAGAGATAACCACATTGAAAGTTTTGCCTGAAAAACAGTCATGATACAAGAAGTCACATACCTGTACATTTTTTAGTTTCCTGAAGCAAGGTTCTAAGTGGTTTTGTTTGTTCTTGTATCTTTAGAATCTATGACAATACCTGGAAAATATGAGGCATTCAATAGATATCTATAGAGTATTATAACTTCTATGAAAAAAGAGGAAAATTAAAGCATACTACAGACACATACATCTCAGTATGAAATAAATAATCCCAAGAGGGAAAGTAGAAGTGGCTTAAGAAAAGGTACCTGTATTACCCTCTTCTTACTTTAATGGGATGAAAGTTATTGCAATATAAGCCAACTCAATTTCACCTATTTATTCAACAGTTATTTATAAAACATTTACTATACATAAAGTTCTATGCTATGTGCTGGCAGGGATACAATACTGCTATGGCTTTAATACTTGTGTCCACCAAAATTCATGTTAAAACTTAATCCCCAGTCGAGACAAAGCAAGAACCAACTTTTTTTAAAAGGGTCTTCAGACACCGAGCATGGAAAGAAAAATCCTTAAGTTCCGTTCCTTTAAGGGAAATTCTAGGAACCTAGCTAGTTCCAGAAATAAATAAGTAACTTGTTAAACAAGAAGCTATTTGTAGCCTAAAACAATAGCCAAGAAAGTTAAAGTTCCAGAGACATGTTTTCCCTACAGAAATTAAAGATAACATCTTAACGTAGTTCTGAGGCTCAGAGCCCCACTGAGGACCCCACCCACCCCCCCATGCTGGCAAGTAGACCACAGATAAGGGGGAAGTGAAGACTGAACTTGAACTACTGTCCTTGTTCTAAGCTTCTTCCTGAGGGGCTTAGAGAAAGTCACTCCCTCTCGCTAGATAACATATTTCTACAGGTCTCTAAGTTTTAAGCAAAGCGTCTCTTCCTTACCAACTGCAGATTAGAAAATCTGTTCTACTTATAAACCATAAGCCCTGCTTCAAGATATCCTGCTCTTTTAAGTTTAAAACAATGTGCAACCTTCATGTACTGATCTTTGATTTTGCCTGTATCTTCTGCTTTCCTGAAATATACCCCTGCCATGACAAATCCTTGCCTGCAAGTGACAGGGGAGGCCAGAATTTGAGCATTCAGCTGCCTGATCATCCTTGCTTGGTGCCCTGTGATAAAAGCCTTTTCCTCTACCGCACAAACGTATATGGATGCCTAGTTTTACTGTGTCTGTGCCGGGCAGGCTGAACCCGTTCAGTTCTGAACACAACGAAACAGAAGATGTGGAGTCTTCAAGAGATGATTGGGTCTTGAAGGCTCCGCCCTCATGAATGAATTAACCTGCTTATAGGTTAATGAATTAGTGGGTTATCACAGGATTAGGTTAGTTATCACAAGAGTGGTTTGTTACAAGAGCCACGCTGGCTTTCAGCACCCCTTCCTCGCCAGGTGATACTCTGGGCCACCTCAGGATTCTGCTGTGACCCCACCAGCAAGATGACCCTCCAGACAACCAGCAGAGTCACGCCAGTTGTGGCCCCTCGACCTTGGACTTCCCAGCCTCCAGAACTCTAAGACATAAACTTATTTATAAATGACTCACTCTCAGGTATCCCTCTGTAACAACAGAAAATGGATTAAGACAAATATGAATGATACAGACTCTAGGGAGTTTATAATCTAATAAAAGAGATAAACATTTGATTGTATATGATTATAATGCAAGCACAGAATTGTATTTGCCTCAAAAGAGGTACATATAAGATGAAATGACAGTTGTGGTAAAGATTACTTTTGGCCACTGGAGTGAACAAAGTCACAAAGGTGCCATCTGAGTAAAAACCTTGAGTAATAGGTCAATTCAAAAGAAATGTACAGGGTGTGTATTTCTGGTGTGAGTGAATGTGAAAGTGAGGGGATCCAGGAGTATTGGAGCAGGCTAGGAAATGCACCCTTGGCAAAGATCATTTCTACCTTAATTACAATTAAGATAGAAAAGCATGTGGTATATACAGGGAATTCTCAGTGATTCAATTAGATGCATAAAGAAAAACAACAATAAACTTTGAAAAAGTAAAATACCCAGGCTAAGTCTTTGCGATATATAATACAAGCGAGTGCCTTCGTTTTTGAGCAGAAAAATGATCAAAACTGTGCTTCAGGTCAGTTCACACGGTGCTATGCAGAACACACGAGAAGCAAGTAAACCGTTAGTTAAGCTGCTGTGGGAACAGTCTAGGTGAGACATAGTCAAGGACTAACCTGGTGTGTCAAGTGTACAACTAAAACAAATTCAAGATATAGCAGGTATTAAGCGTGTCTTTTTATGCTGTATATTTTGATGTTTTGACAGCTAAGGACTTGCTGATGCTACAAGGGCTATCTTCCTTCTCAAAGGGTTAACCAATTCCAAGAGATAGCTAATGAGTAGCCCAGCCTGTAGGCATACCTTTCATAACCCCAAGCACCTCCTTTACCCAGGGGAGCGCTCACATTCTGGGTCATTGTCCACCAGCCTTCATCATCCCAGGGACAGGTACCAGACAACTAGAGACAGTTCCTGTGCCTAGAACCGCTGAAATTACTCAAACTAGCCCATTCTAAACCTGCTTACTGCTTTGCTAATTCCTTCCCACAGAAGCCACAATAAAGACTCTTGTCCAGGATTTCCCCTTGTTCTTTCTGTCCCTAACTGACCCCGGTGCCTCCTGCATGGAGTGGCTTGCCATACTTACTGTTTCTAGGAATCTGTAGGCACTAAACAAACAAACAAAAACTATTTCCTTAATGACAGTCATTTCCATGTCTGTGTGTCTTACCATATCTGATTAAAACAAATTCTGGGTACCTTTAAAACACAGCAGATATAGAATTGGTAGCACTTGTTAACTTTAATAACACAAAATTTAAATTTCAAAGAACTTCCACCTGTATGTTCTAATTCAATTCTTAAAATAACTTGCTAGATACGTAATAGCCGTGTTTTACAATTTAATTCCTTACAAAAGCTCAATAAGATCAAGTTAAACACCTAAATGCATTCAAAACTCATAGGTTATGTGTCCCTGGGCAAGTTTCTTCAGTTCCCTTTCTTTTGTTATTTGTAAATGGGGTTAATAATACTACCTGCCTCATAGAGTTGGGGTAATGATTAAAATAGTTTTTACTTCTAAAACACAGTAAGGAATTAAACTGTAGACATGTTCAACCTTAGACATCAGAGTGGAGCAGTCCAGTAGCAATTGAAAGTGCAAGAGTAAAGTGAATTTCAGGGAACAGAAACAAGAGCTGGAGATTCTGATTTGAGAATCTCTGCATGGAGATGATAATAAATGAACTGAGCCCCAAAATAAAAGCCTAAAGAAACAATGAGAAAGTAATAGGACCAAGGAGAAAAACTGGATGCATAAAGGAAGAGGAACCAGAAAAGAGGCATGGAGACTGACAACCAGTACTGACTGAACCAGTGAAGTTCAGTATAAAGGAAATCAAGAAAGTATCAAGGAGATCAACTCTGTCAAGTGCTGCAGAGACAGGGGAGTAAGAAAGCCCACTTAATCTTTTGCCCTTGAAAACCTTTAGGCTACTCACTCTAGACCTTTGAGTTGTTTCTGCATGGCAGTGGAGACAACGATTGCAAGGGTGAAAGTGTGAACACAGGGACTTCTGGTTTCTAGTCCAACATATGAAGACCTTAAAAATCATCACTCTTGTCCTCGCAAAAAGAAAAAGACAGAATAAACAGAAAGCCAACAGCTCTTGTCAGATTCACTGGAGAACTGAGAGCACAGGGCAAATAACTACCCTGAAAAATGAAGACAAGGTGAAAATAGAGTCCCGGCTTTCAGGAAGCAGAAACTGCCACTGGAGCCATCAACTTAAAGAGCAATTACCTCATTGCTGAAGACTAAGCGCAGATCAGCTTTAGAGATAAAATACTTTTGGGAGCCTAGCCTTTCATGAGTTTTACTTCCATGAGGCCACCAGGTTCTTAGGATAAAGATTAGAGACAAATGTCCTCAGGGTTCCAGCAAGTGAACTAGAAATAATCATTTTGAAATACACCTAGAATGTTGTTTTCCTTAATCAAGACTCGCCTTCAAGGAAAAGTACTGTACCAGAGCCTAGTCAACCTGGGTTTTACCAGAGTTTAACTAAGATGTAGAAAAGATATCTCCAACTCTGGCCCTCTCCAGTCATCCTGTCCCACATAAGAAAACTTTTGAAAAGTACTTGTGAAGGTCTCGCCCCAGGGACAAAGGCCCACTAAAGACTGAGAGCTAAACAGGACTATAGGACACTTCCCCTTCCCTTCATCTTACCAGACCAGCAGCACTTCTGTGTAATAACAGAAAATTACAACGGAACTGCCAAGCTAACTCTATTGCTTTTTTGAGTTGGGGGTCTCACTCTGTCGCCTAGACTGGAGTGCAGTGGCACATTGATGGCTCACTGCACCCTTGACCTCCTGGGCTCAAGCGATCCTCCCACCCCAGCCTCCTGAGCAGCTGTCACCACATGCCCTGCTGATTTTTTGTAGCGATGAGGTCTCACTAAGTTGCCTAAGCAACTTTCCTGATTTGGCCTCCACAAATGCTGGGATTACAGGCATGAGCCACTGTACCTGGCCACATATGATTCTATTTAAGGAGTCCTTAGGGAAAGCTAAAATATAACAGACAAAAACAAAGATATCAGAGGAAACTGAAGCCTTACACACATCTACAGCAAACACAGCCTAATTCCTAGCCCAACAAACATAAAATCTCATACTGAAGGCTTAGTTTTCTCAGTTCATACTACCTAATACAATATGTTTAGCTTTCAACAAAAAAATTATAAGATATCTCAAAAGGCAAAAAACAGAGTGTGAAGAGACAAAGCAAGCACCAGAGCCAGATTCAGATATGGCAGAAATTTTGGAATTGTAAGAGTGTGAATTTGAAATAATTATGATTTATAGGCTGAAGGTTCTAGTGGAAAAAGTGGATAATGTGCAAGAACAGGTGGGTAACGTATGCAGAGATGAAAACCGTAAGAAAGAATTAAAAGGAAATATGAACACATTAGGAATTACCATAGGAGAACTGGACAAAGAAGTGGGACAGAAGGGTTGAAGAAAGAGTCAGTAGTTGTTTTTACCACAATGGGAGACATATCCAATATTTTTAAGTCAAAGGGAAGGATCTAATACAGAAAACACTGGAGTGAGAAAAATGGAAAATTGATAAATATTTGCTTCATGAGATCCTTTCTAAGATCAGAATTCAATCCTAAGGAGAAAGATGAGAAATAATGTATTAGGTCAAGCCAATAGGTTGTAAACTTTAGTGTCTGTGAAACTGTCTTAATTATACTGGCTATAGCAAAAAGTGAAGATTATGCTACTTTCCATCTTCCATCATATTCTTTCCTTAACGGTTAATCTACTATAAATTTGTCAGTATGTAAGAAATTCCCAAGGGCATTTTCCTAACACTCATTCAGCTACTCGAGAGCTGCATGGCTTTTCTATTTTTTAAAGTGAATTCAATTTAATTTTATGTTGAGATTTCCATAATTGAAGGTGAAAACAAAAACCAGACAAGATGAACAGTAAGCAGTTACTGAAGTACTTATTCATTCATTCAACCAGTACTTATTTAGTACTTTCTTAATTTTAGGCAATAAAGGACATAGCAGTGAACGAAACAAAAATCTCTACCCTTGTGGACTACCTTCCTTAGCAAAAAATGGAATAATTATAAATTTTATGGGAAAGATTAAAACAAAAATGAGGAGTTGAAGAGCTGAGAGGTAGTATTTTACATAGGGTGGTTAGAGGACTCTGATACGATGGCATCGGAAGGCGACGAGTCACAAAATTATCTGGGGAGGCACAGTACTCCAAAGAGCAGAATGTGCACAGGCCCTATAGTGGGAACACAGTGTGCCCAAGGTGTTGTGGAACAGTATGGAGTATATTTAGCCAAGGGGAGGAGTCCACAGTAAGATCCTGTGGGGCCCTGGAAGGATGTGAGCTTTTGCTGAGAAAATCCTGAGAAAGGTTTTGAGCAGGACTGCACTGATTACTATGAGGGTGCTGGCAAGGAGACTGTTGAGGAAGCTACCACAATGCGACGCAGCGACTTACACAGAGGGGTAGTCTAGATTTGTCTTGCAGGTAGACGTGGTAGAATTTGCCTATGAAGTGGGATATAAAAGAAAATGCGTTTCATCTGAGTAACTGAAAAAGTGGAATTTGCCATTTACTAAACTGGAAAGACTGCAGAGTTGAGCAGAAAAGAGAGGAAATATATTTGGCCTTGGGTATGAATTTTGAGATGTCTATTAACTTCTTTGTGCAGGTGTTTCTCGTAGTCTGTTTTCTCGGGAGAAGTCTTAGCTAGAGATAAAATTGTGTGATTCATCATTACGGGTGTTTTTTTGTTGTTTGAGTCGGGATCTCACTCTGTCACCCATGCTGGAGCACATGGCTCACCGCAGCCCTGACCTCTGGCACGCGCCACCACATTTGGCTAATTTTTTTGTAGAGATGAGGTCTTGCTACGTTGCCCAGGCTGGTCTCGAGCAACACCCCCCCCAAAGTACTGGGATTACAGGTGTGAACCACCATACTTGGCCTGCTACAGGTGAATTTTAAATGAGAACAGGTTTGACTGACCCCAGGGACACCCCAGTCACAGGCCACCCAATGATGTTTATGTCAACAACGAACCACAGACACCACCGCAGTCTCCTAAGATTATGACACAGCTGAAAACAGCCACTGCCTGGGGAAACGGCCGTCACAGAGTCCAGACACAAGGCAGGATCCCTTCCACGCTGAGATGCGCAAATGCCGGTGACGGCGGCCGACCGAGCCCCACGGCCGCGGTGCGTGAAAGGCCGCGCCACCGTGGTTCGCGCAAGTGCCCTCGACTGCGCCGGCACCGGCGGGTGTTTCCCAGAGGCATCTCCCGTCCCGTGGCGGGAGAGGCGGCGGCGCCGGCCACGTGCCTGCAGAAGGGGCAGCCACCAACCCGGGGGGCGAGAGAAAAGCACGTCGCGGGGCCCACACGAAGGGTTTCGAGGCCGAGCGGGGGCCCGTCTGTCGGCGAACGTTAACAGGCCACGTCGCCGACTGTCACGAGCGCCGCTTCGCCGGAGTGGCGGGGGGCCCGGTCACCCGCCGCAGGAGAGCACGCGGGGGTCCCCCGGGCCCTCGCGAAGCGTTCCGCCGATCCGAGGCGAGTCAAGCCGGAGGAGACCCAAGCGGAAGGCGAACAGGGGGCGCGGAAGCGCGGGAG